ACCACCACCACCACCACCCAAAAAAAGACCCCCACCCAAACCAGTACAACTTTAGGATGCACCTAATAGTATGACATTTATTAGGAATAAAGACTTGTGAGTTCTGGTGTATTTGTGCGTGCGGGGGTCATTATGTTACCGCTATGAGGTATCTAGTTTTAATCCCTTTTTATCAACTGAACAAGTTCCATCATGTAGCTCACTGTCCGTAGCACAAAAATATTCTGCTACTTGAGTTCACCAGAAGTTGTTCTTTCTCTATAACCAACAGTTCCTCCTTTGGTAATCTGACTTATAAATACATAACTAGAAGTGCAGACCACAGTTAGTCAGATGCAGGATATAAAAAGCAACATCTCTGTATTCAGTGATGCACAGCCACACAAATATAGTTCAGTGAAAAACTAGTCATGTAAAAGTGACAGGATATGAAAATATTTACCTCAAACCACAGGAACTGCAGTTATTTAGTGTTTAAAAAGTCTGAGTTGTTTGGAATGGTGTAGGGGTGTCCCAATACCAGTTTTTCTCTTAGTTTGAGTAAATTAAATTGGGTACTGGCAGATACACATAAACATTACACAATGACTTTAAAAACACTTTATTTAGAACAATGTGTATTTTATTTCTTTTACAGCCCCTCTGACTGTATCAAATCAAATATACAGCATGGTATACAAGGCTGTAACATTTTAAAATAAATACAAACAACAAACATGGAGCTGACAAAACTTTCACTTGAAAATAAACCATAACACCTTCAGTGGTCTATCAATATCAGTATCCCAGTTTCAGTACTGGTATTGGCATCAGTTTCGAGTATCAGGGCATGTTGTACAAGTACTTGTGAAAATACTGGTACCATTCATTGATGGAAATTCACTCTTGAATTAACTTGAAGTAGCTTTTATGTAATATATTTGCATATTAAAAACAGTACTGCAAATATAGGTTTAAATACTCAAGAGCCTAATAAAGATTCAATAGACTAGTTGATCAGAAGAGCAGGTTACGATTCATGGAAGAAGTGGACAGAGACTGAAGATTTTGCATTTGCCAGTGCCATATTTATAGGGCAAAAAATAAATAAATGCAACCAATATTTACAATTTACAGTGAACAATCTAAACTGAATAGCCATTAAAAAATAAAAAGTGCAAAAATCAAAATAATAAACCACACCAAAGAAAAATAAAGAATATTTGGTCAATGATATTTCAAAGACCATGACACTGGCTGCTATAAATACATTCCAAGAACAACAATCAATACATACAGAAAAATAATTCAACATCTTGTAAATTACATTCACTGAAGTCTAATAAATACACACCACACAACCTGACTGATATGTGATTCAGATAAACACATTTAGTATATTTCTGTCAAAATAGCAGCAGAACAAGTTAAAAAAAGGCTCATGAGTAAAACATTAAATGCACTTTAATTTAGCTTTATTTTTTGCTTTAAAAGCCAGCATGGACGTTTGGTTTTAATACGGCTTCATCTAACAGACTCATCTTCAGTGCTGCGACACTCAACTAACAACACAAACATTCATTAGGGTAACAGCTGAGCTAACCTTAGCACAACAAACAAAAACACACCAATTCCACGGTTTACGCTTCGCACAGATCACCTCAGCTCATGTCATGGTATGGATTCCTTCAGTTGTAACATCAAATTAGACCGACCTGCAGCTCTGCTGTCCTCAGCGTGCCCCTCTGTTTCTCCCACGTACTTTCACTCACGCTTCTAAGCTTTTCTGATAGGCTGCGGCAGCACACAGGTTGTTCTCAGGGTTTAGTTCATTTGACACAGTGCATTGTGAACGTGAACCGCACCAAATGAAAATATAAACAAATCTTGCAATTTTGGTCCCAAATCGAACCGAGTCTACCGGAGTATCAGGTGTGAATACGACCTTAGATCTCCCACAAAAAATTGTTTTTATTTCTCCAAATTTATATTATCGTGAATGAAGTCTACCACAGGTAAAACACTGACTACTTAGAAGCAGAAATCCAAAGTTAAAGAAAATAATTAATTCCTTCAAATACATGAACTCTGTTAAAGGTTAGCCTAAACATCTATATTCTGCCTGACAGATTATCATCCTTTCTCCACAGGGGGTTACTACCTTACAACTCTATATGCTTCTCTCTACTACATCAGCAGCTTCAGACCACGACTGGCTGCTCGTCAGCTCAGCATGGAGGCCCAAAACTCTATTAACCAATGGCATCGCAGGCGCACCCTGTACTGCAACCAAGCACGCCGCAGCAAGCACCGACGGACGATTCGCAGGCAGTCATATAGAGATCAGAGCAGCCAGAGCTCTGAGACAGAAACTGGCAACAAGACTGAAAGTGGAAGAGAAACGGATTCTGAGAGCGCCGATGTTTGGGAGCAGCAGACAGGAAGAAGCTCAGAGCCTCTGCAGACTATGAGGGAAAACACACAGAGTGACGAACACAAGGATGAATCCCAAACATCAGACTGTCAACCTGCAGCACGGCAGGAGGAGACAACCAGCCAGCAGGAGGAAGATCAAACTGTGTGTGGAGCTGAAGAGGAACAGTGAAGGGCATTCTTACTAAGTAAAAAAAAAAAAAAGGAACCGTGCCTAAAAAGCAAGTAAACTTTTGGCTTTTTATCAAAAACACATTTACAGACTTCTTTCTAGTTTTTCTGATGAACCTATGAACCTTCTGATACTTTTTTCTTCTTATAACTATTATTTTTATTTTTATTAACACTCGGGTGATGTGTTTAGCTCTGTTCGTTCACTGGTTGTTTTCATCTGATTTAAAGAATTCAGAGCTTTTGAAGCAGAGTTCTTCGGAAAAATGATGAATGATTAATATCTTACCTGTTGCACATAGCTCTTTTTTTTTACTGACCTCATTTTAAAGAAACAGTTTACTTCTCACTGGATTGACAAGCTAATGCTTAGTCTGGGTGGAGACCAAAATGGATTATTGCTGTTTTAAAAGGACTCCAACTTGAAAACTTTTATTTCAGATCACTGATCTTTCTTAACTTTACCTCAGTGTCAGCTTCACGTGACGGGCAGGCGTCGACTGGCTTCAGTTTTCCTTGTGGTCAGTGCTGACGCTGTTGGCCGAAGCTTCTATTTTCTTAGCCTAAATGCATTCTCTGTTTAACTAAATGTAACAATAATAGCTTAACATAAGTAAACCTATTCAGCCCTTAGCAGAATGTGTACAGTTAAAATTAATGTATTAAACAGCATTGTTGCTTGTAAAATTAAATTGTTGGCCTCAGATTTATTTATTTAATCAGGACAGTGTGCAATTAAAACATAAACATAAAAACATTTGATGCATTGCATCAGATTTAGCTTATGGCTAATTTACATCTGTAGTTGCTTTACAGCTATTATAGCTATTATAGTAGCTGCTGTCTTTATTTTTCCTACTTGATAATTGATGAAGTCTGTACAGGTAGAGCATATTACTGATTTTTTTCATCTGATTAATCAGTTTATCTTTATGAATTATTCTAGCATAAATCTAAGGATGTTCCTACAGAAAGTACAGACTGCACTGAAAGTGCTACAGCTAGCTGCTCCTTAATAATCTTAGGGATTTGTGTAAATAATCATGGAGTGTGAAGTTGGCAGTGTTTGAAATTGAAATAAAATATATTTCAGCAGAAATTATTGGTATTTTTTTTAGTTTGAAGATTTTGTCAGTGCCAGAAATTCACTTTAAACTTAGCTCTACATTAGCTACCTGTTAGCTCATCTGTACAGTCAGAATTAAACTATTTATTCAAAGCTTTCCATCCATCCATCCATCCATCCATCCATCCATCCATCCATCCATCCATCCATCCATCCATCCATCCATCCATCCATCCATCCATCCATC